TCACATTTTAATTACCATTCCTCTACACTACTCTAACATCCGAATTACCGTTCCTCTACGCTTCAATCACATCCTAATTACCGTCCCTCTACACTTCTCTCACATCCTAATTATCGTTCCACTACGTTTCTCTCACATCCTAATTATCGTTCCTCTACGCTTCTCTCACATCCTAATTATCGTTCCTCTACGCTTCTCTCGCATCATAATTATCGTTCCTCTACACTACTCTCACATCATAATTACGGTTTCTCTACGTTTCTCTCACATCCTAATTATCGTTCCTCTACGCTTCTCTCTCATCATAATTATCGTTCCTCTACACTACTCTCACATCATAATTACGGTTTCTCTACGTTTCTCTCACATCCTAATTATCGTTGCTCTACGCTTCTCTCACACCCTATTTATCGTTCTTCTACGCTTCTCTCGCATTTTAATTACCATTCCTCTACGCTTCTCTCACATTTTAATTACCATTCCTCTACACTACTCGCACATCCTAATTACAATCCCTCTACACTTCTCTCACATTATAATTATCGTTCCCATACGCTTCTCTCATATCCTAATTATCGTTCATCTACGCTTCTCTCACATCCTAATTATCGTTCCTATACGCTTCTCTCACATCCTAATTATCGTTCCTCTACGTTTCTCTCACATCCTAATTATCGTTCCTCTACGTTTCTCTCACATCCTAATTACCATTCCTCTACGCTACTTTCACATCTTAATGACCATTCCTCTACACTTCTCTCACTACCTATTTATCGTTCCTCTACGCTTCTCTAACATCATAATTACCGTTCCTCTACGCTTCTCTCATATTTTATTTACCGTTCCTCTACACTTCTCTCACATCCGAGTTACAATTCCTCTTTGCTACTGTCACATCCTTATAACCTCTGCTCAACGCTTCTCTCACATCCTAATTATCGTTTCTCTACGTTGCTCTCACATACTTTTAACCGTCCCTTTACACTTCTCTCACATCATAATTACCGTTCCTCTACGCTTCTCCCACGTTTTAATTACCGTTCCTCTACCCAACTCTCACATCCTAGCTACCGTTTTTCTACACAACTCTCACATCTTAACTAACATTCCTCTAACGTACTCTCACATTATAATTACCATTCTTCTACCCTACTCTCACATCCTAACTACCGTTCTTCTACCCTACTCTCACATCCTAGCTACCGTTCCTCTACACTACTCTCACATCTTAACTTTCAATCCTCTACGCTACTCTCACATCCTAACTACCGTTCCTCTGCACTTCTCTCACATCCTATTTATCGTTCCTCTACGCTTCTCTCACATCCTAATTATCGTTCCTCTACGCTTCTCTCACATCCTAATTACCGTTCCTCTACGCTTCTCTCGCATTTTAATTATCGTTTCTCTACGTTTCTCTCACATTTTAATTACCATTCCTCTACACTACTCTAACATCCGAATTACCGTTCCTCTACGCTTCAATCACATCCTAATTACCGTCCCTCTACACTTCTCTCACATCATAATTATCGTTCCACTACGTTTCTCTCATATCCTAATTATCGTTCATCTACGCTTCTCTCACATCCTTATTATCGTTCCTCTAAGTTTCTCTCACATCATAATTATCGTTCCTCTTCGCTTCTCCCAAACCTAATTATCGTTCCTCTACGTTTCTCTCGCATCATAATTACCGTTCCTCTACACTACTCTCACATCCTCATTATCGTTCCTCTACGCTTCTCCCAAACCTAATTATCGTTCCTCTACGTTTCTCTCGCATCATAATTACCGTTCCTCTACGCTTCTCCCAAACCTAATTATCGTTCCTCTACGTTTCTCTCACATCATAATTATCGTTCCTCTACGCTTCTCCCAAACCTAATTATCGTTCCTCTACGCTTCTCTCACATTTTAATTACCATTCCTCTACGCTTCTCTCACATTTTAATTACCATTCCTATACACTACTCTCATATCATAATTACCGTTCCTCTATGCTTCCCAACATCATAATTACCGTTCCTCTTCGCTTCTCTCACATCATAATTATCGTTCCTCTACACTACTCTCACATCATAATTACTGTTCCTCTACGCTTCTCTCACATCATAATTACCGTTCCTCTACGCTTTTCTCACAACATAATTATCGTTCCTCTACGCTTCTCTCACATCCTTATTAACCTTCCTATTTGCTATTTTTTTTTATTTTTTTTTATGGATATATAGATTTCAGATAATTTGCAATGCGAAAATGTTCACACTGCGATCGGTTTAGAGAACCTCGAACCTCGAATTATTCACAAATCTTCGTCATACAAGAATTTCAACTTTTACAGTCAATCTTACAAAGAGAAACTATTTTAGATTTTGAACAAGTTCGAATAAAGCCGTAATCGTTCAAAGATCATAGTCAATATTATTGAAACCAGAACTTCACCAGGCTTTTAGTTGGGACGTTGGTTCATGAGTCTTGTTCACTTTCTCAAGTTGAAATAATTTCCTTGCGGGAATTTGAACAAATTGCGGTATTTGTCAATCGGAACATACAGCCATGAGTAATACAATATGTAACACTAGCTTTGTAAAGCCAGGTAATGTAAACATATGTCCGACAGATAACACAAACTAATACATGTATTATTGTGCATTTATTGAATTTGATATAAAGTATCAAACAGTAATTCATAAACACGCATGTATAAAAAGACTTGGAGCATTTAAAACATTTCTCACATAAAGAAAGGGCGGTCCTAAATGGGATGAAACTTCATTTAAAAAAAAAAGACAAATAGTGTTTTCGAAGTAAAGAGGTTTCATGGAACATATAAAGAAATATGTACGAAGTACAATTTCATTGTGTAAACAACGCATTGGCGGATCCAGAAGTTTTTTTGGGGCTTCAAGCGACCCCC